ATATTCTCACTCGCCATTGACCTCGAAGCTAGGTGACTTCAGTCCTGAACGAAATATTATTAAGGCGAAATTCTTGAATACGTTAGGGGCGTTGCCATATTATTTTAATTAGGGCCGTTCTGTCAACACTCTAAGGTGGCTCCTGATCCGCCTATAACGTGTTCAGGTATAAGATTTCTGCAGAGAGTTCAGTAGCCTGGCATATCTCGAGAGGGAGGTTGTGTGCCACCTTGTCGCTGCTTGGGTACTGTGCGGATTCGTTCACTAATGTCAGTCCAAGCCTTCGAGCTGCGGGGACCCCTCCAACAGAGAGCCCCTTTGATGAACCTCCTGACCACACTTAGGCGAGAGCGAAAACCTGAGCTGCAGGCGTTCTAGAGCTGCTGCGCTGCCAGGCCTTTTCGCGATGCAGCGTTGGGCTGCCCATCTACGGGTCCTTTTTCCGGCGGCGGACAAGCGGTTTTGATCGGCTCCCTTGTCTTGGCACTGCTTGGGCAGGTGGAAGGATTTTGACTTTGCCGTGCTTCCTGAGGGTCCATAAAGCGACAGCAAAGCGAAATATTTAGGTCCATCAACTCACCTCAAGCCCGTTTGGCCCGCATGGCCGACGGATTACCTGGGAAGGGCTGTTTTGCTGTCTGCGCTGCCTAGACTGGTTCCTCTGCGTTGCTTGTCCCGTCTGCGTTGCTAGAGTAGTCTGAATGCACCTGGCTATGAGGCAAGTGCCGGAGAAACACTTTCGGTGGCGTTTCGCGAATTCCATGGGCTTTTCGAGTCTTCAATTTGATGCCTCCTTGATGAGTCAACATTGAACCTGGCCAACCGGAGAGGTCGACTCTGCGTGGGGGGGGGGGGGGTTCCATGTCATCGGACTGTGCCAGTGGGGTCATGCTGTCAGCGTATTGTCTGTACTGCCACCTTCTTGTGCGACAAACTGTGCGTGCCTTTCCCTCTTTCCTGGGAGGAGATTGTGACAGCTTGTTCATGAGGGCAGTGGAAGACGACGGTTGGTAAGCGCAGTGGAAGGCAACGATCCCTTGGGAGAGTCCTGGACTCAATTGTCTTCACTCGCAGGTAATCTCGGGACGACTGCAGGTATAAAACGTGAGCGCAAAGAGGCTCGGGTCTGCTTTTTTTTTCCTTTTTGTCATGAATTATTACGGTACCTATTCATGTAATTACTGTAAATAAACGCTTCAGTTTTCAACATCGTCTCCTCGGTTCGTCTTCACCCTGACCCTCTTTGTATAGCTCCGGGTCACGACGACGTCCCACAGTCGCAACAGTACATGAAAAGTCTTGAAACTGTGTGTGAAACCGACGACGAACCTCTTGTAACCTTGCTGGTAAAATCTCCTTTAGATGTTTTACCACCACGCATGCGGCGTTTTCGCATGAGGCTCATGTGGTTCAGCTATGAAGTTTTGTATGTCCGGGCAAGAGCCAAGTTACTGCGGATGTGTTTTCGAGGGGCTCGATTCAGAGAAAAAGTGATAGTGCAGTGTCTGTTAGTGACATCAGCAAGCAGGTTTTCGGGTACTTGTCAAATGCGCTCGAGGCCAGCCTCTTTTAAAGAGTGAAAGAACAAGCCACTGACGAAGTTTGTCAAGCACTCGTGAAAATCAGTCGGAAAGGTTGGCCGAAATTTTCATCTCATCCAACGTTCTTACGTCCTTCTTGGCAAGAAAGAGATACGCTTACATTTGCTTAAGGCGTGCTACCTAATGGTGTGAGGTTGGTAATTCCTCGAAAATTTTGCTGGGTATGCGTCGAGCACAGACACCAAAAGTCAGAACCAATGATCGCAACAGCCACTCCACAGCGTCGTTGGCGAAAACTATAGACGCTGCTCTCTACCATATTCAAGAAATATGATATTTGGTAGTCGTGTATTATTTTTCTGGGTACCCAGAGATCAGTTTGTTATCATCTACAACGTGTGTTACTGCCATTACGCACTTTAAAACTTTCTTTGCAAGACATGACATACCTGAAGCATTTATGTCTGATAATTGAGCGCAATTTGTGTCGCAGGAATACAAAATGTTTGCTCGCAATCACGGTTTTCGTGCTGTGACGTCTATCCCCAGGTACCCCCTGGCAAATTGTGAAGTAGAGAGGATGGTCTAGACAATTAAATGTCTCATTAAAAAGTGAAGGACCGATATCTTTCTCTCCTATAGCGTACAAGGACACCCAGGGGCTACTTAGAAAAAGCCCTGCAGATCTTCTAATGGACAGGTGGCTATGCACCACGGTACCTGACCTTACCACCAGCCTTCTGCCTCAGATGGTGAACCTGAGGAAGTTCAGAAGTCATGATACGACTGCCCGACAGCGGCAGCGTAGGAACTTCAAGCGTTGTCATAGGGCTACCTCGTTGCCAGCGCTCGAACTGGGCATGGAAGTCTGGGTGACAGACTGCAAAGCAAAAGCGTCGGTCTTGCGACTTTCTGAGCGGCTGAAGTCATATGTGGTTGGAAATTCCACTAGTGTAGTTCTAGAAAAAATCTGAAAATACTTGGTTCATTTCGTTTCACAGTCAAAATAAGGTTAGGATGACGGAGGTATATATAATTTTTGGGGGGCAAATGAAAGTTGAGTAGAAACGGAACAGAAATCCAATGGTGTTACAGACAGCATGGCAAAGACGTTCTATCTAGCCCTTCCCTGGCAGGAACTGACCTTCTTGAATACCGAACGAGACTTGGTCGTCTTGTTCGACAGCCGGACCGCTACGGGTTCAGCAATTGACTGTATTGTTTCCTGCGCATTATTGTTTCTGCAAAGTGTTCTTTCGCTGGCAGTGCTGCTAAGTTGGTTGCAACTGTCAGCGTATTATTAGATGCGCGTCAATAGGTGAATGGTAAAATGGGCAATCGCAGGAAACTGTGGGATACGACGGCTTCCGGTTCGATGCACCACACGGGTCAGCAGCGGCACGCGCGCATTTTTGTGCTGCTGCACTGAAAAAGGCACCTCATCGTGCAATGTCAGTGCTTTAGAAGCTTTTGTTGTTTTTTTTGCCAACCATGACTGTGACAATGATGACAAGCTATACGAAAGACATGAACGGTCCGGAAACTTTTTTGTCGCACTAAAAATGATGTGCAATGCTTTTATGCTGCTCGGGGGTGCTGTCAGTTTGGCTAGCAGATCAGTTGATACGCAAAACAGTTTTCCTTGTATGATATGGTACTGCAGATAAAAAGTCACCCTTTTAAAGATCTCAGGTGATGGGGACGACTGTAGCAGTGTGCTAAGAGTTAATTTCGGGATCGCTGCTACGGCCGAACTCGTCAGCCGATCGGCATGAAGCGCAACACTTATTAAGCGCGTTCAGATATTTTTTGTTCTAGCCTTCAGCGCGATATAAGATGTATTTCTTAGTCGAAGCCAGATGCGTATTTGAACGCTGATCTTGATCAAGCTGCGTGGCACGATGGCACATAAACAATACAGTCAGACATATACGGCGCCAAATAATTGAAACCCTGCGCTTGTTTAATGCACTTATTCCTTTGGTTGCCATCCTGGCACACAGTTTGACCAAGAGAAACGCAAATGAACTCGTCCAGCGCTTCGTATAAACTTACTCTTGAGTGAAGCTTTGCATTTTTTGTCAAATGTATGGGCGTAATGGCCGGCGCTGATCTCGTATGGCAGGTATACTATAGATTTTGCCCGCCCATTGCCATAATATCTTTGCTAGGTGTGCCTGCACGACAAATTATTTCTCAATATGTTATTCGCAGAAAATTTATGCGCAAGTTTTTTTAGTGTGGAATACACACGTACTACATAAATCTACTAGGGGCACATATGACATTTTCGCCTGGTTACTGCTGAATTTATTCCGAGCATATATATGCAAGGAAGTGGCTGTGTTCATTTTTCTACGACAAATGTCATTAGCCACCTTAACCGAGGATCCTTTCGCGCTGTGTAACATCAGCGAACCGTGGTTGGCGCTAACCGCGGTTCAACGCGGTATGCCGTGCTTGGTCGTAACCATGCTTGCTTTGCCTGTTTAACATGGGTATTAGTGTCCGCCGAAGTGATGTAGCGGTTAAAGTGCTCGGCTGCCGACCCGAAGGTCAGGGGTTCGATTCTGGCCGTGGCTGTCGAATTTCTATGAAAGGAGAAATGGTAGAAGATCGTGTACTGTGCAATGTCAGTGCATGTTAAAGAACACTCGATTATCAATATTTCTGGAGCCCTCCACTACAGCGTCTCTCATAGTCATGTCGTGGTTTCAGGACGTAACACCATAGGTATTATTATTAACGACACTTTAGTGCTTACTTGAATAAGGTCATCAATCATTATTAGAGTACACTCATTGGAGTACAAGTATGTAGCACCTCCTCAACACGATGTTGCAAGGGAGAACAAGAATAAAAGCCTACTGCTACAAACACCCTCGTGACTCAAGAAATCTGTTTACATCAATTGCGAAGATAGCATATCGTATAGTATCTTTCACCCGTACTGGCTCGCCTGTGTTCTGAGATTACTTGTACACCCTGATAGTACGTTTGACGACTAGCACGACACCTCGCCGCGGTGGTTCAGTGGCTAAGGTACTAGGTTACTGATCCGCAGGTCGTGGGGTCGAATCCCGGATGCGGCGGCTGCATTTCTGATGGAGGCGGAAATGCTGTAAGCCTGTGTGCTCAGATTTAGGTGCACGTTAAAGAACCCCTGGTGATCGAAATTTCCGGAGCCCTCCACTACGGCGTCTCTCGTAATCATATGATGGTTTCAGGACGTTAGACCCCACATATCAATCAATCAATGACCAGCATAACGAATGATACAAGAGAAAGTTAAGTACACATCAATCTGTATTTTTTATAATTATAGGGGAGGATCAAGGAGCTGTGTGAAAGAAAACAACATGATGAACAGATTCGCCGCTGTGTGGAGTGGTTAATTTCTCGAATCCTAAAATCAGAGTGAAAAAAAAAGAAAGGATGTATGCCGTATTCTACAGTAGAAAGATTCCACCAGGTGGAATAAAAATGCATTTATTATCAATGAATTGTTATGGTACACAATGAAAATGGCACATATGTACACTGTTTTCTTGAATGTATTGCAGTGGGCTCAGCTTTCGATTGCGAGGCATACGGATACACACACGCTGATACAGAATGCGCCTACACAAATTTACACTGAGATACAATTCGGATTCAGTGAGCCATGAAATGAGTAATGGAGGAAACACACATTCGTTCACAAGGTAACAATAGAATATGCATAGGCTGCCACTTGTAATTAAGCGGCGCTCAATATGGGAAGAAATGCCCCTAAGCACGCGCGTTAGAACGCTGCGCCCAGATTATACGGCACAATGGCGCATACGTTCGCGACAGAACGAAAGTGTCCGACCAGCGGCTGACGTCACACACACACACGTCCGTTGAGGTCTCTTGTGTCGAGACATGTACAACTGTTATATATTTTTTACGAACATGATCAGGCTTCCAAGCTATTCGATACTTACAATAACAGCCGCAACGGTCCCTGTTGGTTTTTAACGCTCCATACCACGAATCCAACAAGCCCGTCACGAGGTAAGTGTGCAGCCAACACTCATTGTTGCCATCAGCGTCGCGAATAGTGCAGCAGCGATCTTCTATCAGATCTACAACCAAATGTGCAAGAATTTCGCTGCATCCTTCGCTAACTTTTCAGGTAACGTGTCGAAGCTTGTGCACATTCCACTGGCATTTACTTTTTTTTCTTTTTTTCTGCTTCACGGTTTGATTACAGCCCTTGAGGGAAACTTTTTGCTCAGTCATGTCATTTATAAGTGTTCAAGTTGGTGAACAACAAAAAATTTTCCTGGTAATACACTACCACTCAATTGCTTTCGTACAAGTATGCGTAATCGAGGAGTTTGAAAAACACATCACTACTTCACAGCCACGGCAATATTCACAGTTCGTTTTTCCTAGCCCAAAGTGCGTTATTTGTCACAAATGCTATGCCTAATAATGATTGTATACATCTGATGAGGTCCGACGAATGAGCTGGAAGTAATACTCAATCCATTGTAGCGATTGTATTTTTATTAAAGCCCCTAAACGGAGAAGGCTGTCGCGCTACAAAGTAATTACATACTTTTGTAAGTCTCCGTATCCTGCTCTATTTTAAGTGCTATTAAAGTGTATTTAAGGCTTATAAGTTTGACTTTCTACAGGTTTTACGACAATAGACGACCAAAGCATGTGCATATACATTTTGTACATATTTGTTTCGTAAACATTTCCGCTAACGAGGAGAGAATATGCAGCTTACCGATAAAGAACACACACGTAAGTGCTTACACCGGAGAATTCAGAGTATTATAGTAGTTGCGTTCCCATATGTACGTCTGAACAGGAACTAAGAATGAAAACACAAGTTAACATGCCCGAAAGAAACGTCGCTCTGATTACTAGCCAAAATAATTGGTTCTCCAAGTTACTCACTTCCAGTAAGAGCCCTCATTCACATAAGCTACTTACACTGGACTCGTTTGCAATGAATTCTCGGCCGATTGTGATGCTGACCATATTGCTAGCGAAGCGAACTGGACAATGGCAAAAAGCCCTTTAAAGCGAGAAATTTCGGGAAATGGGCCCCTGGACATCAACCTGATTAGTATCAACACCGCAAAAATAGTCTTTGCAGGCGCAACCTAAAAACACCATCACGACGGCTGTTAAAAAAGTTGGTCGAATGCTAATGGTACAGTTGCTGCGGATTAATGATAAATAAGCACTTAACAAAGGCGGTTACATTGCAAAATCTTTTAACATATAAACAAGCTCGGCAAACTGCACGCTCGCTGTCGTCTCATCTGCCTCAGCACTTGATCGTGGCAGGCAATCAAAGACTCGGAACGAATTCTATTCTTGTGAAGATTTTGTTCGGCGAGAATTTGTGCTTCCAGGTGAACTTGACCGCCGCTATTGCCCTCTAGTGCGATGTACAGGTGGCTTCTACGCCGCGCTGCCTCTTCTCTTGCCTCTGGCATTTCGCTGGTGGAGACGTCATCATCGGCAGACGAAACCGCGTTTTCTTGAGAAAACGGGTTGTTGTCTTCCGTTCCTATATTTTCGAGAAGCTGATATGATGGCGCGTCCTGTGCAGCGTCTTCTGGGCCAGCTGCGGTGTCGTCCTCTGTCTGGCTGTTCACGGTGGAGGCTTTTGTTATAGACCCGTACGGTGAAACATGTGTGCCGCTTTCCTTTGGACAGGGTGTCATATCGGCTGGCATCGAATAAGGTCGGAGATGCCGTTCGTTGGGAGATGATTCAATCATGATTGACCCTTCTTCGACCGGCGCTGTTTTAGCTGGCTCTGACTGGCGCCGCTTGTGATTTTTGGGAGGAAGTGGTGGTGGTATGTCATTCTCTTTTTCCAGCGACGCCCTTCTCAGCAGCACATCATCAAGTTTCTCGTAAATGCGCTCATCCATATCACTGCTGACGCTGAACGCCACCTCAGACACGGGCGACTCGAGTTCACTGTCGACATGCGCCGAAGTAACCGAGATTCCGGAGTCGAAAGTGGAGATGGACAGATGAGACTGGCGAGAGCATGGGAAGCCCGGCACTTCGTCCGGTCGAGGAGGAGGCAGGGGCCCCTTGAATGTGGGCATCTGCAGCACGGATATGGCGTTGGTTTTGGGCACGCTGTAGCCGTTGCCATCTTCAATGGCTGCCTGGCGATGCTGCTGAGTGAAGCCATGGCGTCGGGCAGGAGTGCGGCCATGAATCTCATGTAATTCTTTCCAGCTGTATTGTTCGGGGGTCATGCGTTTGAGGATGCCTTGCACGACGCCCCTCAGAGTGTAGACAAAGTTCAGCGCTTCAGGACAGTAGAAATGGAGCACGCCTCTTCCGGTCGAGCTCTCGCTGCGGGATGGAAATAATGAAAAAAAAGCGGCCATGTTACGTGGGCAGAACTCAACATTCTACTCTAGTTGTTGCTTTCAAAACAAGTGTAATCGCAGCTGCGCGAAAGGTATGTTGACATTTCTCCACGCATATTTTTTAACTGTTATTATAATTTGTGCAAGCGTGTAGGGAGTGTTAAAGCAGAAAAGAGGTGTAAGCCACTGAACGCTATATGGAAGAAGTAAATGTGAAAAATTTTTGCTACCAATATTAAGAATATTATTAGCAGCAGCAATAGTAGTAGTACCGAAGAGGTGGACAGCTGCTCGAAGAAGTTAAGTAGACGGCAACGTGATCCCGTGGCTAGCAGTCGTACGAGCAGGTCTAGCGTAATTGTCGGTGGATATCGAAACTGCGTGCTCACCTTCCGCACTCGATGGCCAACAGCTTGCCATGGTCGGCCTCGTGTTTGTTGCGCGACACCTGGAACCGGACGAGGGTGTTGAGGTACCACTCTTGTATAACGTGCTCTGTGTGCGGATGCGTCAGAATCAGCTTGTGACCGCTGATGGAAAGGTTGCCGTAGCTGCCCAGGAGGCCAGCACGGCCACTCCATGCGTCGTCAATGAGTGAGGCCTCGAACTTGAAGCCCAGAACTGCGAAGAAAATACATCAGGAGCGCATGACTTGGTTGTGATTCGCTAAAAGAAACATGAATTGTCAACACAATTCGAGAAGAAAAAGAGAAGAAAAACAACCGAAGCGAAAAGTCATTCCTGAAAGCGGGATTTGGTGCGTTCTGAAGGTGGGATATAGGCCAACCGGTGCCTAATCAGTGATAGCCGCATTCGTCTTCCAAAAAATAAACCAGTAGCGATAAGTCAGCAAAATAAAAAAACGACTGTTCGCTGTTGTGGATTTCAGCTGCAATAAAGTGAGAGCACATACCTTAACATTAGTTTATTATTTGCTTTTTCACACCACGTGTAGTGCAGTGGTTTATTTCAAACATAGCAGCCTAAAGCAATCCTGTTCAGGTTCTTTTTCTTCGTAATGGCAAATAAAAATTTTGCATGTCACTGTGTTGCTAAACCGGGTAGGACGTGAAATTCATAGAGTCTTTCAGATAAATTTAGATTTCATGGTGGACTGTGAACACACACACACACACACACACACACACACACACACACACACACACATATATATATATATATATATATATATATATATATATATATATATATATATATATATATATATATATATATATATATATATTAATGTGTGTGCCTGTGACAAGCTTCGATTGCACGCAAATGTATCTTACAAGTGCTCTAATCATAAGCTGTAATAGTAAAAGGGTCTATATGATGCTTTCGATATATGGGCTCATTACTTCCCCATAGCTGCCATTAAAAAATGGCTGCTGGCCAACTTTGCTTCTTGTTTACGGCTATCACCTTTTTGCGAGTTCAGAGAATTGACATGCCGGGCCAGCCAACATTAGATGACTATGACGTTAGCCAGTACAAGGAAAGGGAAGATATGCGGAGTGTGTCAATATTGGTACTGTAAGCATGTGCAACAAGATATTATTTGTTTCAGCTGCTCGCGACACTCGTACCAAACCAGAGAGCAGGTGTATTCATTCTGTTCAGAAACTACCTAAAGATTTTTTTAAATGGTTATTTTGAGTTCTATACGTCCGCGCGTCTCTTTTGCGTCTTTCAATTCTGTCCGGTGAGGCTGAGACTACGGACATTGGCACCATTGCGTGGTCTAGAACATACCGTTCTCAAGCTCCACCATGGGCACGGGGGGCCAGAGCAGTGCTCGCAGCGCGGCCATCCATTCCTGGCTCTGCGTTTCACTCTCGCCTGCAAGGTACACCATGGGTGGCCGCTGGCCCGAGCGCACAGCCACGGCGAACTCTCGCGAGCTCGAGCCGCACCGGAACACCTGGGCGTCCTTTGGCGATAGCGTGCCTCGGGCCTGGACGCCCGAGTTGCGGTGGGCACGCACCTCGACCAGCACGTCGCACGGCTGGCCCCATGCCGACTCCAGCTGGGTCAAGTCGACCCATTTCCGCTTCCAGCTCTGCGCAAAATCGTGCCAGCTAGTATGAGAAACACGGCCGCTGTGCAGTCACGTCAACAAACGAGCACGGAGATTCAGGGCGGAACACGTGCTTGCAGCTGATAAAAACAGCGCAGCTGGTGGTTGCACTAGATTTCCGGCCACTAAGCGCTCAAGCTTGCGTACACATAAGGCACATGTTTACAGGGTACTATTCTGTTTATTTCTCCACCGCACATGTTTCGCCACAAGACGTGTTCACTGCTTTCAGACGGCAAAATTTTTTAAATAAACGATGCGTTTGAGAACATGTGCTTTCTGAAAGTGGTTATGGATGTCCAGCAAGGAGCATGTTGTTCATTCTTCTACGTCTCGCCTTATTCTCAACCTTCTGGTGCCTGTAACGAGAAGTTGTTGCCCATTCGAAGCCATATGGGCATGGGTCAAAACTGGCAGTCAAAAGCACTTTTTTCTTTCTAATTTTTTGTCTGCCTGCATACGTAAAAGTATACAACCTGTAGTACTTGAAGTATCCTGCGTGCGTGAATGCGTCAGCATCGCACATGCCTCAGGTGACTTTATCGGATCATTTCGTCAAGGCCACAATTTCGGTTGTTGCCAGCATAGCACCGCGCCTTGGAAACGACGGTGCATAGAATTTGGACAAAGACAATGACAAAACTGTGCTGAAAGTTTTTCTTATCTCCTGCACTGTTCGGCTTTGTCTCTGGCATCTAGCTCTGACATCTACTGATAACGCGAGTATGATCAGCCACATCCTGTGAACAATGTAACGCTGAGATATGTACATGACATTTCGAGAAGCCTGACTCCGCGCTATTCATTCGCACTAAAGGAACCACTCAGTACTCCAAAACCGCTAATGATATCTGATAGTGGACATGTATTACATATTATCAGAAAAAAAAAGTGGCTAGTTCTATGTCGTAAATTCTTTTACAAAAGGCTATCCTTCACTCACTTCATCAGTAAATGGCACAGTAATACCTTAGTCACTGCCGTGGCAAAAGGCAGACCAGCGCCGAAATTATGAAGGGCTCTCACAACAAGTGCCACGTATACAGAGCTTTCTTGGGGTCGCGCACATACCGTTTGGGGAAGTTACTGTGACCGACTTACTTAGTCAAGTTAAGCGCGAAATCTACAGCCCAACGTAATGGTTACTGCTTATAAGGACCATGTGGTTCAGCAAGCGCCCCAAAAAATGGAGTCTACCACAAAAATATAATAGTCTTTCATCAGGGACGTAGCCTAGAGGGGTGGTTCAAACTTTTTTCTTCCAAAAAGTTTTTTGTTTTCAATTTCGCGTATATAAACACGCGCACATACAAACGCACACCCAAACATACATAGATTAAGAGTGAGAATCCACTGCTCCCCCCCACTCTCGTCCTGAAAAAATTTCTGGCTGCGCTACTATCTTTGTTGTTTATCGCACCACATATCGTAATCAAATGTTGATGGGGGTAAGAGCGTAGTTTACGTCCTGTTCTTCCGAGCGTGGTTTTGTTGGCTTTTTCGTAAATATATGTTGTTGATTGTTATTACAAGAAAGCTAAGAAGGTAAATGGTCGATATTATCTATTTTCAGTCATCGCTACTGTTTCGTCTCTATGACATAATGTTGCTAACTAGAAGCACTTCGTAGCAAGTTTCATTACCAGCACCGCATGTCCTTTGTAATAGGTGCTGGTTGCCAGAAAGTCTTTTGCACTGTCATCTGAGTGCTCACTTAGGGACTCATGTGGTTCAAGCTGGTTAAATATGGTGCAGAAATTGTAAGAACACTCTGATAATGGCCAGTCGTCCTCGTTCTCAGTTTTTTAATTGTGATTATAGCGCAAGATATGTTTTGTGTATATGGGCCCTGGTATTCTGTACTACATATCTCATAGGGTGCAAATCAGGGTCTAAATTCACGAAAACGACTTGCGCTAGAAATGTATGATAAAGACACTGAAGTTCGTATGACAAGTTTTCAGCCAATCCTGACAATGGCCATAACATTAATGAAGGCGGTCAGTCATCGGGAAGGAAGTTTTTTTGCCCCTGGAACGTGATTAGCTTTCACCTAGTTATGCCAAACTTGCACTCGTATATGTGAACTATGAAAACAATTTTCCGTACTGTTGATTGGTTGACCGCTAGCAATGCGCTCCCTATTTATGACCAAATAAGTCATATTAGAGTTACGTTATAGAGTCACGTGCGGCCCTATTGTGCCGAGCAGTCAGCTTTGAACCTATAGTACCTTTTTTTCACGTATGATCCGAAGTTTTTGCAAAATCCCACGTTTTCGCTTACGTAATATCATTTTAGACTTGCCATATGCAAACAAAGTGAAGTGTTTTAGAGCATATAGTTAACGGATTAGCGCTCGTTTTCCCTTCCAGGCTGATTTATCCTACGTATTGTCTCGAAGTTCACAAGCTTGTGGACAGTAATTAGTTCTTTTTTCCGCATTGTCTGCGGAGACAACGTGAAATAAAATTTAAAAAAAACCGGAAACATATATATCAATTCACGACCCACAACGCATATAGCCAGTAAACAACACCTTGGCAGAAGAAAATAACTGTTTACTCAAAGATACGAATATACTAAATAGTGGCTGTTGTAATACTCCCATAGTCACGTTAGCGATCATGAGGTCAAAACTTGATCGCTAGCGCAACTACATACATCGAGTAAAGCAAATTTTCTCAGCTGTTTCATATGGGCAACGTGCACTTTCCAAACTCTCTTTCGATCGCATGCATTTGCCAATAAACTTACCAACGTCATCGCCCTCTTTGAAAGTTAACGAATGGAGCACAAAGACAACCCTTCAAAAAATCAACTGTAAACACTTAAGCCTGGTTCTAGGCGTTTAAGGCTGATTGTTAACATTTAATCTGTTTTTTTTTTCTTTACACGAGCTACAAAAAGAACTTTTTCGCGCGAACTTTGAAATACAAAGCAAGCGTAGCAGGACACAGCCGCAAAAAGAGCGTGTAAATAGGGCTCAAACCTTCCAAGTGCTGCTGTTGCGGGCACTTTGCGGCAACTTCACGTCCACATATCCGCTCTTGATCACCATGGGACGGCTTGGACTCGACGGTGGCGTCGGTGAAAGAGTATTTTCAAAAGTCACAGCTGTTCAGCTTCTCCTGACTGGTCTCTTTTTCCTCGTTCACGGAGTCGGTCACCTCAGTAGTGCCTGCTCGGAAGTGTTCGCAAGGAGCAGCGCCTAGTATATATGACTGACTGAGTGAGAGCTTCGGATGAACGACGTCGCACAGTGGCTGCTCAAGCGTATCTGCTCCGGTCCCCGTTGCACTGTGGGTTTTTGGCTCCTGGACACAGTAGCTGCTCTTATCGGCCACCGAGTATCGACCACGCTTGGGCGCCAATTCGTCGCGGGAGCCCATTGTCTTTGCTTATCGCCAATAGAGTAGGCGGCGTGTAAAGAGCAGTGCGCTAGGTTCCTGCCATTCTGTGTTTCCCTGCGGGTGTGTCGCGGTAGCACTTTTCCTTTGCGTGCTGCGTGCAACATTGAAGCTACACGTGTGCTATAGTGACACTATGGTCACCATTGACTCCGCTGTTCATTCAACTCTTCGGTGTGACCCACGGTGCTCATGATAAAGTCTCGAACGTAAACGTAGTTGCCAGTGATCTAGTTAAAGAACAGCTTCACCGCGCAGTAGTCTCGTACTAGCTTACAATAAATATAAAATATATGAAGCCGCGGGTAAATGATAAAAAAAAACAATCGACAGTGAATTCGGTACGTGACCATAATACAAAATAAATAGTAAACGCAGGCGGGATATGTGAAGTACTAATTGATTGATATGGGGGATTTAACGTCCCAAAACCACTATATGATTATGAGAGACGCCGTAGTGGAGGGCTCCGAAAATTTAGACCACCTGGGGTTCCTTAACGTGCACCCAAATCTGAGCACACGGGCCTACAACATTTCCGCCTGCATCGGATATGTGAAGTACTATAGTTGCACATTCCGCAAGAAAGCCTTTCTTTTTTTTTTTCGTCAGTTCTCCTTGAAAGAGATGCTGCTATACTGAACTTGTTCATTGAAGACAATGCGTTGTGGTTCATTGCGTAAACTACAATTCTTATCTGCCATTCAGTAGCATATATAAGTATAGGGTTGTGTTGAAAATTCTCGCTTGAAAGTTAGCTCTTCATGGTGTTCATGTTCATGAGAGAAAGTTACACTAAAAATTTCGCCTGCTAGATAGATAGATATAGAGAGTTTAACGTCCCAAAGCTACCCTATGATTATGACATACGCTGTAATGAAAGGCTCCACAAATTTCGACCATCTGGGGTTCTTTGACGTGCAGCCAAATCTACGGCCAGCATTTTTGCCTCCATCGAAAATCCAGCCGCCACCACCGGGATTTGATTCCGTGACCTGCGGGTCAGCAGACGAGTATCTTAGCCACTAGAACACCGCAGTGGGACAAAAATTTCGCCCACCATTGCACCACTAACATAAAAGAAATCACACGGGAGATGCGAGATATTGCGAAAATCAATTCGAAACAGCAACTGCACTTGCCAGAAACTAAATTGCAATAGTGCGAAGAGCTGGGCTTGTTGGTTGTACGAAATTAGAAAACAGCGTGAAAACCTGCAGAACACACAGAAAGGGAACAGCACTGCATTTCGACAAGAAGTAGCTTGTGCTTAAGAACCGTATAGCTGCCAACTTGAAACATCGTGGCGAGCTTCGATTATTGTTACAGGAATGGCAGCCTATTGCCGGCAAGCAAGAAACAAGCGATAAAACAAGAATCCCGACAACTCGCAGCACGCCTATTTTGAGCATTGCTGCTGTTCTTGTGTAAGCACAGACTAATCACGGTGTGTACAAGCAACAAAATGCCTAACGGTCACAAGCTTGAAATTAAACTGGCAGGTTCACTTTTCCTGTAGTAATGTTTTTTTATCCTCATTCACAACGCTCTGCGCAGTTGCTCGCTCTGTAAAACAATTCAACAGTTTTGAACAAACAGCATTCACCATGTGAAATGTTTTTCAAGCTTGTTCTGCGCGTAACTTTACCTTCACTGTGGCTGCGTAGCACCTACCAAACCACCAATAATGCTAGAATCTTGGACATGTCTGCATTTTTGCTTCATGCAATATCCGTTTCACATAACAAAAGAGCACTGATAGAATTAAATAGCTTTTTAGCACTTGTAACGGCTTCCTAATACTGTCTGAGTTTGTGGAACTTTTACAGTATAATAAAAGATTTGTTCCGGGCTAGTATTGGTCAGAGTTATTCAATTATACGAGCTGCGAAACGACGTTCTAAAGTCTGGACATGCAGTTTGCCCGATTCTTAGGGGTTGCTTGACGTTTGCGCCACCAGGGAAGTGGCAACACAAAACACAAACAACGCATGTAATTGTGGGCGTGCCGATAAACAGATGGCGCGACAATCTGCTCACTCCCGACCGGGGGCTGACGGAAATGACGTGTCAAGGTTTCCATACGTGGAACCAATTGGGAGTTTCGCAACTGATATGATTGAATGACTCTGGTATTGGTGGGTACTCTTCTACACGCTCAAAAATGTATATAGGGACTGTTTCGTTTCGTTTTTTATGTTTACAGATATACTACATGCTGTACGCTCGTTATAATATCATCTTTCCAGCAACATTAAATATCCTTGCCTGCGCTGAGACACGATATAAAAAAACCAAAAAGTTATGTGACAATTCAGAAATTTATTGTTGCTACTTTGCTCACATCAGTTATCAATGTTCAGAAATCAAAGCGTCCTCACCAAATTTTAGATTTAATTGCATTTTGACAAAACATATGGTATGTAATAACTTATCAAATCATACATTGCTTTTTTAGTGCTTTCTTTGAAAAAATTGGTATTATGAAGTTTACTCTCGCATATTCCTTTCACTTTGTAGTACCGCAAACAAATAGACAAAGCTCCGCCACAGTGGTCTAGTGGCTAAGGTACTCGGCTGCTGAGCCTCAAGTCGCGGGATCAAATCCCGGCTGTGGCGGCTGCGTTTCCGATGGAGGCATAAATCTTGTAGGCCTGTGTACTCGGATTTGGGTGCACGGTAAAGAACCCCAAGTGGTCAAAATTTCTGAAGCCCTCCACTGCGGTGTCTCTCATAATCATATAGTGGTTTTGGGACGTTAAACCCCACGAATCTCTCAATTAATCAATCAATCAATCAATTAATCAATCAACAAATTGACAAATATTTAGTCCAAGGTAGTTGTGCTTATAGCCTAGGAAGTGAAAATGTGATTGGAAATCTCAGTGATCGATTTGCTATAACAGTACAAGTCTAGTGTCAAAAAAATATCCTACGCACCTTCAGATGCGATGTAATGAGAGGCAGAAGGGACGCCGATTGCGCTCCTGCGCGGTAGGAAAACACAACAGTAGGGCTAGAGCCTGGTCAGTCACATGAGTGTTCTTCTTAATTCTAGCATGATAAGACAACAAATAAGCCGCCGTCAGTTTGAGGAAGTGAACTTTTGTTTCGACAACGTTGTGTGCTTCAGGAAAATATCGATCATCTGGGGGAAAACAAATTGACTGGCCCTGTTTGATTTCCCTAGAATCTCACGTAGTTCATTGTCAATAACCAGTGTCGTATCTGAACAGAGGAACATCTCTGTCTTCTGAACATTAGAACAGCAAGCTCAGTAGATTTTATGAAACACAGGCGTAAGGCGATCAGCACAGAGAGGCAGAATTCCCATGCAGGAACATACATTCTCTTGTTGCTGCAAGATAACCTTGGCTTGACGCTGAGAGGACACTGGCATATACTTTCTGTATGTATTTTATAAAAAGCCCATAACCTCCGGCCAATGAAAACAACCCTCTTTGCTGGCTCTCAAATTGCTCCTTTCCGTAGTCTTGCCTCGAGAGTATCAAAAGATAAAGTGCAGCAAAGGAGCTGCAATACTGTGAGGTCCTGCAAAATATCGTTTGCGTGATATCCCCGCTGAGCAAATCAGCTAATTGCTTAACAAGTAAGCGAATCGGACCGTACTCACATCAGATTTTTGCGCATGCACATACGGGTATTAACACTGCTTAGTATACAGGACCTACCAGTGCTCTGTCATTTTTCGTACAGTGCTATTTTGTGGCATGCCTAGGGCTATTTTCTCAATGTCACCATATTGACGTGAAGGTCAAAGTCATGGTACTGTTAGGAAAATACTCCTTCAAATTTTGGAACGTGAATTATACACTTCGTTTCACTAGTATGGCATCAACTTAGTGCGAAACCGAGCCAACGAGTGGTACAGGGGAGAAACGTGAGCGCACAGTGCGACTCGAGAATGTGGAGTGCGGGTACAGTTGTGTAATACGCTATACTGCGGGAGCACGCGCTGCTGTGGCTTCCAATAAAGCGGCAGGCTTTCGGCACATTCCACTCTGGCGAGTGAGACCATCTTGCACTCTGACCTACGCATTTTTTTCCAATTAGAGTGCAGTTGGCACAGTTTAGACATAACAACTGCGTGATTACTAAATGAACTGCTCGAGCAGCGCTGCTGACGCCTGAATCCCGCTGAGCCCTAATTTTGTATTAGGCAGTATCATAATGGTTGATTATCTTTTAGATGCGAAGCTTGTTAGGGTTTAGGTCAATCCGGTGTGTGGCGTGGCCACCATTACGGCGAATACGTGTCACCTCCCCTCTCTTCTCTCCTAAGCTCCTCCCTTCTCCCTGTCTCGCCTCACAACGCCCACGCAGGCAGCGTCTGCAATCCAACTCTCTCGCCACCTCTCTCTTCTTTAGGCATCCTCCCCGGGGCTTTTCCACGTGTACTGCACATGCGCGCCCCTCCGCCTCTTTTCTTACGCTCGCACCCTCTCCCGCCTTGCAACGCCGACGCAGGCAGCATTTGGTATTCTACACTCCCTCTCTTCTCTCTCCTCCAGGCATTCCTCCCTGCGATGTCTACACCCCTATTGAGCATGCGCGCTTCCTCTGCCTCCTCTCTACGCCCCCACCCCCTCATCTCTCACCTCGCAACGCCGACGCAGGCAGCGTCTGCTAGCGAATTTCTTGATTGAAAAAACAAACGACTGCTCGCGCTGCACAACCGATCACTCACCCTGTATCTTGACCTCGAAGGTAGTGTAGGTGGAAGATTTCCCCTGTGCGTTGCTGAACAATAAAAATTCGCTGTGTTCACGTTAACTAAAAGCAGACTGCATGTATCTGTGTCCAATCGGCGTCTTCAGCCTCTCATTGCCCATGAGCAGCGAATAGCATGTTCCGGTCT